GGGCTTGTGCTAGCATCAAAAGTGTCAGTATTGTTTTAAAAAGTCAAGGGTAGGTCCCTTCTTTGACCTTTCCCTTAATTTTACTCATGCATCACTTCGTATGTTTACTTCAAAACTACTACAGCCACTTGAGCATTATGGCAAGATACATCTCAAAATTCAATTGCATCCAAAGAATAGAATAGCTATAATAGCAAGCATTTAAATCTTTATTTTGTTTTTATTAGTAAGCGTTTTAAGGCACTTGAAGCACAATAAGGTCATATAAGTGCCAAAGAATAGAAGTGTTAGAAGAGTGTTACATAAACAAAAAAGGAGGAGCGATAAGGACGATAGATGTTTCATAGAAAAGAAGAAGCTAATCACACCAGAGCCCCCACCAACCACCCACTAAATATAAAATTAACGCAATGCTTACTATCACTCAGAAATAAGGAGGCCTACATTATTGCTGTGCATACACTATACTATATATTATTATTTTGATTTCTTGACAAATCAATCTTTAAGAATACTACTACTACTACTAATTATTTCTAAGAGTCAGGAAGAACAATAGTCCTAATCTACTGCTCAATACAAACATATATTCAGGACCAAAATAATGATTTCATTTAAAAGATGAATATTCATTGCAATCTAGAACTGTTTTCCTCGCATATAAGTGGCGGTGGTAGGCGGTCCATTTCCACCTAAAATACATGTCCCTTTTTTTCCATTTCGCCTTTTTCCGTGTGCTAGTATCATGATCATAGATCTCGATCGGTATCATGGTTCAGGCCGCGTCGATATGCTCTCAATCGACATTTTAAAAAACCAAACTCGGGAACCATTCCCTTTTTTACGAAGAATTTTCCTCCAAGCAAGTTCAGGTCCTAATCCAGGAAGTATCAGTTGAACGCTTCTGTAAGCACGCACATTGTCCAATACAAAAACTGATTTTCGCAACTCGCAGACCTTTTTTCGTCCTCACAATTACAAGGAATCGATATTACTCTTGAGAAGTGGATGGTCGTTATTTAGGGCGATTAGCGGCTAAAATTGTTGGCACTCCCCTGGGGCATCTCATATAGCTCAGGGTCGATAAGTTTCACAGTGTTCACTTTTCTTTCTTTTTTTATTTTGCATCTTCATTTCCCTGCGCCCTTCAGAAAGTATAGTGTGGTACTTAATCTCTAGAAGAACTGATTACTTTGCTCTGCTCTTTGGAAAAACAAATATCTCGTTTTATAAAGTCATTAAAAATTGCAATCATACGCCGATAGTTTTACTATAGTGTAAGAAAAAAAGGTCCAAATCAACAGGATAACGACCATAATTTCAGCCAACAAGATTGACAGACATAAACAACAGAAGGAATAAAAGAAATACACGTAGGTCCCGCGACAACCGAAACCCGTAGATTCGCACACACGGACACACCATTGCTGATTACTTCACTCTTGTTCGAACCTCGATTCTCCTCGAGTTCGTCAAGCTTGCAAGCCACTTTCCCCAAGCGGCAAGCCTAATCAGAAGAGTGGGTTCTTCTGCTGCTTTCTACAATCCTTGTGCCTTGTGATCGCTCTGTCTATTCCAACCACAATACTTGGAACCATGATGTCTTCGCATGTCTTGTTGCCCCCGCCCCCTCCCCCCGTTATAAAACCTAAACTAAACAAGAACAAAATTGAGGGACAAAAATTAATCAATCCGATTTTGGCCTCAATGATTACTATCCGTACCCTACATCCAACCCTAGTCCTAACCTAACTCTACTCCTATCCTTATCCGTTCCCCCACTTTCACCCTATGAAATTGCTATCAATATTCCAGTACCTTTGGGGCCAAATCCGGGACTTGCCATATTATACCTAGCCAAGTGACGAAAACAAACCCCCCCAAAAAATTCAAGCAACCCAAATTTGACCTATTTTCCCAGGGGACAGAAGGATTTTTAAATATTTTTTTTT